TCCAGTTCTTTTAAATGTGTCAGTTCCTTAGAAACTAAATCAAAATTTCTGAGTAGGAAGCACTGACAATCACCTTGCCCAACTCTTTTCTTTTTATAGATAAAAAAACCAGAAGACCCAGAGAGACAGTTACCTGCCCAAGGTCACAAAACTAAAAGCAATGAGAACTTAGGGCATTCCTGTCACATTAAAGCATTCTGACAAAACTGATGTTTATTCTTTGTTATAAAACAAAATAATGAAAATGAAAAATGTGCCTTTTCCCAGCCGTATCTTGAAAAAAATTGGAACCTTACTCTATTTATGGAAACTACGTTGATCTCATTTTTTTTAATGGTTAGTCAAAACCTTTCTACGAAGTATTTAGAAATGATGCTTCAATCCATTACAGCATCTGAGTACCAACAACCTTTCCATTACTGCTGATAGACAGCTATTCTGTCCAGAAGCAGAATGCATGAGAATGTTTATCGTAAATCTATAACTAGTAAGGACTTACAAAGTTACTTTGGGTTGTACAGAGGACAATGGAGAAATACAAATCCAAGTTTTAAGAGAGCTTGAGAAGCAGACAAGTAAAGACAAGAAGCGTGGCATCAATCATTCACTGAGCTCAGGAAACACGAATTATCTCAGTTCTGTAAATGAGTTAAATTAGGAAGTCCTCAGACAAGAATCATGAACAAAGAAAGATTTGAAAGTGGATAAGCAGAAAACAGAGTGAAAAAGGAATAATGTGTATAATGTGACACCATGTATATGAGTTTAAAACATGCAATATAATATAGATACTGTTTATGGACACATAAATATATAGTAAAAGTATAAAAGCATTTATTATATAATAATAAACTACAAATTCTGAATGAAGATCTTCTCTGGAAGTAATGGGGTCATGAGGTAGTAGGTGGATTGTGTTTATATATTTGTCCAAATGATAAACATTTGATATAATTTAAATGGGCTTCCAGGTGGGACAGCAGTAAAGAATCTGCTTGCCAAGCAGAAGACACAGGAGTCATGGCACGATCCTGGGTCGGGAAGATATCCTGGAGCAGAAAATGGCAATAGGCTCCAGTATTCTCACCTGGAAAATTCCAAGGACAGAGGAGCCTGGCGGGCTACAGGCCACAGGGTTGCAAAGAGTTAAACACAACTGAGCACACACACCAAAAGACCTACTACTAGGAAAACCCTCAAATTCTATAAAGTGACTAAGTTTCAGGCAAAATGAATAGTGTGGAGAAAAGCTGACTTAATAACCAGTTGACAGAGATGAAACAAGTACCCAAAGATATCCTGTGTTACCTTCAGGCACCATGGAGATGAAAACTCGTACTGTAAGCCAGTTCTGCCATTAGAGCACACGTTGTGAATAGTTTTGAAGATGGCATGACTTCATTCACACGTCCCAGGACTTTCAGAACAGTTAGATCAAGTTATGATTTGATGTCAAATATCTAACTACAAGTTCTGATTTTCTCTCTCATATAGCTCTCCTTATTTGTGAAAGCCTTTTATATTAACTGTATAACTGAGTATCCTTTAATTTTTTTTTCCTATTCTGTGCTAGAGATTTTGGTTAGGTTAATGTTTATATGACATTTATGAAATCATTTGGAGGTGAGGGATGTGGCAATACGCTATCCTGCTGAGGGAGCAGTGCAGAGCATATAACATTTAGTACAATGGTGCATGAAATGGCAGAGCAACTTTTCTTCCTTTCACTTACAAGGATGCTTTCTGAAGCCTCTTTTTGATGTGGCATCTGTGAACGGAGGGGCTTAGCTACAAGGTGGATCATTAAACACATTTGCTTTGTGTACCCAACTCTTTCCTTAGAATGATCTCTAGAGAATATCAGAGGACACCAGAGTTCAGAGCACCTCTTGGCATGAGACCACCCAAAACATTCCACTCTGATCATCACTATGGGGGAATCCAAGAGATGGCTCAAATGCAAAGGGGGGCAGTGTAAAGCTGATGGCCTCCCTCCAGATGCTGAAAACTCATTCTAGGTCACAGAACTGCAGCAATACAATGACTATACATGCATTTTCCAGAAAGTTAATAGATGTTACTGCTTTCATTTTGTCATTTCCCAACTTTTACATATCTCCCATTTTTAAAGCCAATAAGAGTATGCAAGTTTTATGAGCATTTACCTCAAAACCTGTCTTAGGCAGTAGATTTCAAATTTGGGAGTATCATCAAGGTTTATCCTTAATTTATCCCCATTAATTTTCCTACTGTTCCTAGGTTAGGAAAAATTTTCAGGCACTGGATAACCAGTCCATTATCATGTAAAGGAGGCAAAATTAACTGATACTATGGGTAACTAGTTTCAGTACTTTTACTCCTGCTTATTTAATAATCATTTAGAGGCAGTCAAAATTCCCAAATAACCAAATGTAGCCCAGCAACACGTGAGCTTCAACATCCCAGCTCTGGATGAATGAGTTTCAAATTGTAGCATGGATTAGAATCACTTAAATGACTTGGGATTACACACACTGTTGGGTCCATTTCAGGAGTTTCTGAGTCAGCAGGTGTCAGGTGGGACCCACTAGCCTGCAATTCTAATAAGTTTTCAGATGCTGCTGTCCTTGGACCACTCTGAGAACCACTGGTCTGGATCTGGGACCCTAGGGAAAGTACTTATCTTCTCTAAAGTTTAGTTTATCACTATAAAAGGGGAGTACTCAAATTAAGAAGATGTTTATGAAGAACCTTGTGTCATGCCAACACTGAGTGCTCTATAAATGGTAGCTGTTATTACAATAACTCAAATTCAATTTTAGAATGAAAAAATGTAAGCTAATTTGCCTGTATATGTCATATAAATTACACATACCCACTCTTTAACCTATATACCCAAACCACCTCATTTTAGATAAAAGTTCTACATACATACCCACTCTTTAACCTATATACCCAAACTAACTCATTTTAGATAAAAGTTCTACTTATAAAAGCTATTATTTCAAAATGAGAAAAAAGAAGCCATTAGTCTGAAGAAATATGCATCAAGGAGCCTATGGGTTCTGAGTGGTTAATGTGTAACATTTCTTATAAAGCTCTATTTGTTTGCACAAAGCTTGTTGTGTCTGTGTTCAGAGGGGAGGGGGTGGTTAGGGGAGCTTTCTCGCTCCACGGTGAACCGCAGCAGGAAACTAGGAATCCCTGTAAGCAAAGATATTTTAAATCATGAAAACCTCTGAAATAATCCTAAGCATCAGGATGAAAATCTCAAATTTACAGTCCTCCTTTCCTTTTCACTAAAAGTAGTCCAGCAGGGAAGAGAAAGAAGGAGAAGTTGAGACTGGCTGTGATTATTTCAGCTTTGAAGCAGCATTTACCCTTTAAGTCTCCTCTCTCTTCACAAAGTCAACATCTCTAGGCCCAGTCTCCAAATAAAAGGTAGGGGAAAAACAGGGATGGGGCAGGGCAGAAATGGCATATCCTCAACTTCCTCTCGACCTCCAAGGTAAGCAGCGGGGTTCTCCTCTATCCTAGCTCCAGCAGAGGGGTAATGAGATCAGCATCCCGCACTGTCCCTCACACAGCCAACAATCACAAAGCAGTAGCATCCTGTGACAAGTAGAGTGCACCACCAGGCACCCAGTGCTGAATCCCATACCATCTGCATTTTCTTGCAGGTGGAGGTGGTGGAATCTTCCCTCCAGTGTGAAATTTCCATACTAAGAAGTCAATCTGGAGGGAAATTTCCAGCTTAGCAACTGAGCTTTGTAAACTTTCCATTTCTGATTTGGGACAAATAAGCCCCATTTTCTGGTAGGTTATTAACTGTGCATATGTCATGATGATGAGAATATAAACAGCAATAGAGTTAACCTCTGTTAAGTGCTTACTGGGCTTCCCTGGTGGCTCAGATGGTAAAGTGCCTGTCTGCAATGCTGGAGACCCAGGTTCGATCCCTGGGTTGGGAAGATTCCCTGGAGAAGAAAATGGCAGCCCACTCCAGTAGTCTTGCTTAGAAAATCCCATGGACCGAGGAGCCTGGTAGGCTACAGTCCATGGGGTTGCAAAGAGTTGGACAGGACTGAGCGACTTCAGTTTCAAGTGCTTACTATATGCCAAATTTCTAATCTTTTCACATGCATAAATCTACTTAATCTTTACAACAATCTTATTAGGGAAATCAAATCATCATTCCCATTTTATAGATGAGGAAGCTAAGGCACAGAAAAGTTAAGTAAATTGCCTAAGGGAACAATACTATCCAAAAAGTCCATGATCTTAATCACTCCACAAAGTCATAAAATTTGATAGATACTGGTTAGGGGGTCCTAACTGTCACAGTAAATATACTTTTAGTACTGAAATCAGGACATACAATGGACAATATAATTGATACTGTCTTCGAAATTCAAGTATGAATGAGAAGCCCCAAAATGCAGGTAGCTCAGGGATGGTGGAGAAGACCTTTTGTGGGAAGAATGAAGACCCTGGAGACAGCAACCCCAAAGTGACCCTGCTCCAGATCCTTATGGTCTTAGCAAGTCTTTTAATCTTTCAGAATTTCTATAACCTGACCTGTAAAAACAGATTGATGTTAGGATTAAGTTATCTAAATTTTTAATACAATGTTACAGAAATATCAGCTTTATATTGTTTCATGGCATATTAGCAAGTTTCCAGACAGGGGAGCCTGGGAAAATTATGTAGGGCTCATGACACATAAGGATTTATTTAAGAAGAACTGACTTCTTTAAAATATTAGGTTTTCCTATTAAAAGATGGTTCTCTATTAATTTAGCTCTTCTTTAAGACAAACTGATTTTTAATAAGTTAGATGTAAATTACCAGGTCATTATCTCATGGGTTCTTTTTTAACAAAGCACATAAGAAACAATTAATAATAATGAAATGTAAAAGAAACAAACTCAAATCTTGAAAAGCACACCCTGCCTCCTCCTCCAGGGGTCTCCATTCCACATCCTCTTCAATTAATCAATCAAAATGTAGAGAACACTTACTCAGGGCTGTCTGGATGTCCTTTTCTCCATTTTTCACTTCAGTCAAAAATCCTTTCAAAAATTTGAGACCTCTAAAACAAAAAAAAAAAGGAGGATATATTATTTCCAAAGTTCACTTATATTGAATAGGTATGAAAAAATGGCAGACATAAGCTTCTTTTTCAACAGTATCTTGGGCACAACAATAAACAGATTAAGTCACATGGCTGTCCTTTTTGTTTCTTCCCTGTGATTTCCCTTTAGCTTGCTCTAGATCATTCTTATCTGAAATACCTAAACAGTGGTTTTCAGAATGTGGTCCCAAGACCAGCAGCTTCAGCATCATCTGGAAACTAGCCAGTAATGCAAATTTGGGGGCCCCACTCCAGACTTGCTGAATCAGAAACTGTGGGTTTTGGGTGGGGCAATCTCTGTTTTTTTCAATAAGCCCTCGAGGTGATTCTGATGCTGTTACAGTTTGTGATCCACTGACTTAAAGACAAACTAATCAGCTTTACTGTCCTTTATGATTCCTATCTTATATATTCTATTAATATGAACAATGTTTTATCATTATCAAGACAGAGGCAAAAAAAAAAGTTGGCATTCTATTCATCAGGCCTTCTGTACAACTGCGTTCCAGCCTTCACTTAGAAGTAGCCTCCTTCACCTAACAATTTTATTGCAGGTAACCTTTCAACGTGACTAGATTTCACCTGCTGCCCCACCCCGGCCACCTCACCTCTTCAGCCACAGGAGGGCTTCCGTAGCTGAGTTCCTAACCTGGGCTACATCGGCCTCCACTTCGTGTAGCACTATTTTCTGGAGTGTGGTAAACTCTTCTTTGTTGGTGATATACTTCTGGTTTACTTTCTGCAGGAAAAGCAGAGAAATAAGTTTAAAGTGCTAAAGCTACCAAGCAAGTCAGTTTACATAAGTTTGTTAAGCAGGCCTCTGAGAAATTAAAATATATTAATATTTTATAATATTATATAATAATTTCAAATATATATTAAAATAAATTTTTTATTTTTTATTAAAAAATTTTTTTTTCCATTTATTTTTATTAGTTGGAGGCTAATTACTTTACATCATTGCAGTGGTTTTTGTCATACATTGAAATGAATTAGCCATGGATTTACATGTATTCCCCATCCCGGTTCCCCCTACCACCTAAATAAATTAAGCCTCTATTACCTTCTTCTTTATGTTTTCCAAGTAATCTGTTTTGCTTGAGAATTCTTATTGGGTTTAAGCCAGATTTAAATAGTTTGAGGGTTTTAAGGTACTGTTTTTAAAGTATTTTTTTCTCCTGTGAGAAAGGTTTTTACAGCTGGCCTATGCTTTTCATCCTGAGTATAAACTCAACCATTTGTTTTTGAATAAGATTTCATGCAACTACTCCCTCCAAATTAAGTCTTCAGAGACAAGCTAGTATACTCACTTTAATATTTCCAACTAGATCCATCTTAACAGGAGCAAACACCGTAGGGCCAAGTTTGTCTAGAAGAAAAAATTGAGAACATCATTGAAAAAGCAATTTTTTCAAGTGGAAAATAAACTTAATGGATAACACCCCCAACTTTCATTTTTTGCTTTTAAATCATTTTCTAAACATAAGCTTCAAAGATTTCTGGGACACTGTCATTACTTTTTTCTACTATACTGCTCTTGAGTAACTACAATGAGGCCTTAAGGGCATGTGAGGATAATCTTGTAAGTTGAGAATGTATATTGTAATCCTTAGGGCTGCACTGTCCAATATGGTAGCCAGTAGATATGTGGCTATTGAGCACCTGGCAATCAATGTACCTATTCCAAACTGAAATGTGCAGTAAGTATAAATATACCAGACTTCAAAGACTTAGTATCAAAAAAAAAAAGGCTCATTAATGATTCTTTTATACTGAGTCCAAGTTCAGATGATATATTATATACACCAAGTTAGATAAAATACATTATTAAAATTAGCTTTATCTGTTTTGCTTTACAAATTTAATATGCCTGCTAGAAAATTTAAAATTATATATAGTAGCTTAAATAAGCAAATTAAAAGAAAAAAAAATAACACAAACAGTATAGCTAAAAAGACAAAATGTAATAAAATTCTAACATACTTGACTCATCCAAAAGAAAAGCAGGATCAAAGGTAGCTAAAAAGCTAAAAGAGGAAGTAAAATAGAATATGAAAAAATAATTGACTAATTGTCTAGAAATCAAGAAAGGAGTACACAAGGAAAAATATATGAGACAAATACAAAATAAGTAGCCAAGATGGTAGAAACAGCAAGATAGAAGGCTTAAATTCATCCAAACAATGTAATTTATAACATTAAGTACAGGAAAAAATGATAACTTCAAAAAACACGGAAAATACATTTTATAAAACTAACTCATCCATGATTATAAAAAACTATTCAATATATAAGTCAACTGTATCTGTATGCTATTAATGAACAATTAGAAAATGATATACTTCTCCTGATAGCATACAGAAACATAAAATTTTAAAATCTATTCATAACAAAAGATGTGTAAGAGTCTCATGCTCTACCGACTGAGCTAGCTGGGCAGCTTCAAAAGATGTGTAAGACCTTTACACTATACAAAACATTGCTGTGAAAATAAACACCTAAGGAAATGGAGAGATACAGCACATTCATAAAAGACTCAATGTTGTTTGAGATATCAATTTCCTAGTAACTGGTTACAGACTCAACTGAATCCCAGCAGACTTTTTAGTAGAAATTGAAAAGCTCAAATTCATATGGACATTCAAAGGACCTAGAATTGCCAAACATCTTGAAGAAGATGATTTACATTATCTGATTTCAAACCTTACAACTGAGGCACAGTAATTAAGATACTATAATTCTAGGGTAACAAAAAACAGATTATTGAAACAGAAGAGAGTCCAGAAACAGATCCACACTTATGGGGTCAACTGATTTTCAAAAAACTGCCAAGTAACGAAAAAGGGAAAAGATGCTTTTACAATAACAACAAAAAAATGGTTCTTGAACAACACGGTAAAGGAAAAGAAAAAAAGGAATCTCAACCTTTACCTCACACCACATAGAAAACTAATTTCAAGATGGATCATAGATGTAAACATAAAAAATAAAGAGTGTAGAAGACAACACAGAAGAATATTTTCATGACCCTGAGGATAAGCAAAGACTTCTTAGGATACTGCAAGTACTAATTATAAAAGAAATAAAATAAATCAATTTAATGAAAATTAAAAACTCCACATTGTTCAAAAGGCATCATTAAAAAAAGAAGCAAGCAAGCCATAGTCTCAGGGGAAATATTCATAATGAGAATGTCTACAATGAAACATTATTCAGAACACACAAAGAACTCTTTCAACTCAATAATAAAAAGAAAACTAACCAACTTCTAAAAGTAAATTAAAGATATGAACATACTGCACGAAGGAGGAGACAGTAATGCTTTATATATGAAAAAGTGCTCAACATCATTAGTCATCGGGGAAATAAAAATTAAAGCCACAACAAGGTACCACTGAACACTCACAGGAATGGCTAAAACCAAAAATACTGACACCATCAAGTGCTAGTGAGGACGTGAAGCAACCAGAAGGACATACATTACTGTTAGATGTGCACAACGGTACAACTACTCTACGAAGTTAGAGGTACAAACCCTATGAATCAGCAATTCCACTCTAAGTTATTAAGAAAAATGAAAACATGTGCCCACAGACGCAAAAATATTAAGAGCAATTTCACTTATAATAGCCCCAAACAGGGGCTTCTCTGGTGGTTCAGTGGTTAAGAATCCACCTCAACGCAGAAAACATGGGTTTGATCCCTGGATCAGAAAGATCCCCTGGAGAAGGAAATGGCAACCCACTCCAGTTTTACTGCCTGGGAAATTCCATGGCCAGAGGAGCCTGGCAGGCTACAGTCCCTGGGGTCATAAAAGAGTCAGATATGACTTAAGAGACTAAACAACAACAAAGCCCCAAATAAGAAATTATCCAAATGTCTATCAGTAGAAGACTGAAGAAACAAATTGGGGTATACTCCCTTAGCAGAATACTATTCAGCAATAAAAGGAATGAATTACTAATAAACGTAACAACAAAGATGAAAACTTCACACGAAGAGTGTAACGAAAGAGTACGTAAGTGATTCCACTTATTTGAAATCTTAGAACATGCAAAACTAACCTACAGTGACAGAAAGCAGTACGGTTGCTTTGGGCTGGGAGACAGTTTGGGGACTGACTGCAATAGGGGATATTCTGGGATAATGAAAGCATATTCTGTCTTGTAGAGGAGTGGATTACACCAGTAGATGCCTTTGTCAAAACTCATTAAATTATAACAGTTAAGTTCTATGCAAAATAAACCTTGACTTAAAAAAAGAGATACATAGTTAAAATGGATTCTACAGCAAACTTTAACACATTAGCAATTCCTGGTATTACTGGCTCTATAAAAAGTCAATAGAATTTAAACTTAAAGTTATATATGTCATGTTTTTTAACCTGAAAAAATGTTTTAGGTGGTAAAATGCATTTTCATAGTGTTGTTGCTGTTGTTCACTTGCTAAGCTGTGTCTGACTCTTTAGGACCCCATGGACTATAGCATGCTAGGCTCCTCTGTCCTCCACTATTTCCCAGAGTTTGTTCAAATTCATGTCCATTTTCATACTACTAGTGGATTTGAAGATCTGTTCCTCAACTACTAATACTTTCACTTTTGCTCTTAAATATGATTTCTAGAAAACAGAATTGCCTTTTTTCATTACACAGCTCTGGGATCATTATTAATCATAATTAGAAATGAAATGGAAATATGTGATAATGTTTAAGGTCACACAGTTTTAACTGTATGTGGCTGGTGATATAAAGAGGTAGATAAGAAGGGTCATCTAACTGTACACATAGTTCAGTGTATTTTTACTACAAAATAACTTCATTGAAACAGATTTCAGAGACTAATGAATTTAAGGCAAGTCTAGCAATCTTACCTAATACTGGAACCACAGCATAACACGATGCTAAGAATGCTTCTGTGGGAATGCCACTGTCTTCCAGAAGTTCAATGTCACTAAAGCTAAACAATTTAGTGATACAAAGGAGGAAAGATTGAAAATACAATATTAGCATGCTCTGCAGTTCATAGGTAGTCATGAAAACAGCTAAGCCTCTGAGAACACATCAATTAGGCTTATTCACAAACACAACCCACCCAGTGACTGTTTTCCTATTATAACACAGTCTAATAAAATCACTTTCCAAAGACAATTCACCAAAGCAAGCTAAAACTTGTTGACAGCATATATTCTTGCAATCCAACTCCTTCTTATCCACTGCTTCAGACAAGGTGAACAATAAAGCAGACACATGGTATGTCACAATCTCTATTCTGGAGGAAGACTGGTATCCAAATGTCAGTGATGTGAAAGAGTAGAGAATACCATGAATACCTGGTGTTCATGGTACTAAAGAAAGTTGGGATAACTTCTTGGTCTTCTTCCCAATGGGATTCTGGAGAGCTGTTGGTGGAGTGCAATTCAGGCTGTGCCAAGTCGCTGTCATGATTTCCCAGGCTTTCCTCTCCATCTTCCTTCATCATTTCACCTTGGACTGTATAGCAGAAGATACCTATTAGTAACCTTTATTTATTTCAAAGATTAATATGTATACATATTCAATGTTGAACATTTCTAACACAGCAAAGTATAAAGAAAGAAAAATCAATGAGTGAAATATTACACATCACACACAAAATTGGGTTTAAATATATGTAGATTTTCATCCAGCTTCTTCTCACTGATATCATAAATGTTTTCATTATCACTCAATACATTTCAAAACATGATTTTAATGATCATGTAATACTGCATCATGCTTATGTGGAGGGCATTTAGGTGGTTTCTAAAATTTTAGTATTATAAATAGAGTTAAGCCTCATTATTAGTGAGGCTATCTTTGCAGATTTGCTTGCCTGTTTATTTGTAATACTAAAATCAATGCTTATGGCATTCTTGCAGTCATTCTAGATATGTACAGAGTGGTAAAAGAAAAACTGAGTTACCTCACACACATGTTCCCAACTGAAGCTAAACAAGGTGATACTGCCTTCTTGTTTCACCTTTCATACTGTACACAAATGTGTTTATTTAGTGCCATGTTTTTTGCATTTGTTGCATTTCATTGTTGATTTTGCTGTTTAAAAGGCCCTCCAAGGGTAGTGCTTTCTAGTGTTCTAAGCATAAGAAGGCTGTAATGTGCCTTATGGAAAAACACATGTTATTTAATATATAAGCTTATATAAGATAAACTTTGTTCAGGCATGGGTTATAGCGCTATGCTGTGGGTTCAATGTTAATGAGTCAACAATATAAACACAGTGTCTTTCTTTTCCCTTTGGGAGGAGGGTTATTTTTTTCTTTTCTTTCTTTTTTAAATTTTTATTGGAGTATAGTTGATTTACAATGTTGTGTTAGTTTCAGGCATACAAGCAAAGTGAATCAGTCATATATACATATATCCATTCTTTTTTAGATTCTTTTCTCATATAGGCCATTAGAGAGTACTGAGTTGATTCCTTGTGCGATACAGTAGGGCTTTATTAGTTATCTATTTTATACATGTGCATGTGTGCTGAATCATTTCAGTCATGCCCGACTCTCTGTGATTCTACAGACTGTAGCCCCCCAGGTTCCTCTGTCTAAGGGATTCTCCAAGCAAGAATACTGGAGAGGGTTGCCATGTCCTCCTGCACGAGATCTTCCTGACTCAGGAATCAAGCCCGTGCCTCTTACGTCTCCTGCACTGGCAGATGGGTTCTTCCCCACTAGTGGCACCTGGGAAGCTTTTAAGAACCTAACCATGTGTTTCCCCTAGGAGCAACGGTTCAATATTTGCTAGTTTAGGGTCTGCAGTAACTGTATAGAGCACAACTACCACGAATGATGAGAAGTGACCATAACGTCATAAAGGGCATCCCTGTCCACAGATAACTGTCCTTAGATCCACTATTCCCTGAGGACAGATTCCTAGAAGAAAATTACTGGGTCAGATAAACAAGAGTACTGTTTTAACTGAAATTCTCCTGTCTTTATTATTTACTCAAGGGATAAGACTTCGGTGATGTATGGATTGCTAGGTGCAGATTAAGAGCTGTAAAAATGCATCTTTTCTTCCCCCCACTCACCAGAGGAGATGAGGAGAAAACTTTTTAAAAAATTTTATTTTCAAACTATTTAGTACTTAAACAATTAAAAGCTCTAAGATGGTTGTCATGGACTGAAGTTGGTTTTAGTGACTAGAGACAATGAAATTAGTAAATCCAAAAGGGCAGCATTTTCAACTACAGGTTATTACTTAAATTTGAAATTTGGTTTGATGAACACAGTGAAGGCCAGGTGAAAATCTGATGGTGGCTGGTGAATTCTGTCATCCTCAGGCCTCATCAGAAATCAGGAGCATGGAAAACTGAATTGCCATAACGTTGCAGACCCTTAAATTTCACATCATAGTCTATGTTCAAAGGACTGAAATTCTGAGAAGGTTCTAATACTCATACTCTTAAAAAGTCAGCACAGACAGCTACAGCTCACTGAAGCCCATGAACATCACAGCTAAGAACAGTGAATGGGAAAATCCCTCTTCATTCTGCTTTCTCAACACAGGGGTCAGAAGGGATGGCAGAATGTGTCATGTGACCTGTGTTATCTAACCAACATCTGCCTTAGGAGCTACCTGGCATACGGTCTTGAGGCCAATCTCTATCAAGGATCACATCACGGATAACGAATCAAACCCCCACGATCCTTTCAGTCAATGGTTTGCTTCATATCTTTTTTGTTTTTACCTGTTACATTATCATCTGTATTTTCTTCACTTGATATGCTGCAATCTGTCTCTGCAGGTTTCAAACATAAGGAGCTCTTGTTTCTCACTAGGATTTCTTCATCATCATTTATTTCCATATTTAAAGATCCATTTTCACAACTGTTTAACTCCATTTGCCTAAAATTTTTTAATAGGAAAAAAGTCCAATTACTTGGTCATAAATAGACTGCACAGATGATCTTATTCTGAGGGCTGGGGGGGAAGGGTTCAAAATTACCAACTTCTTTTAACACGGATTAAAAAACAGAATTGCTAAATCAAGCCAAATCTCTCACCCCACCCTCCTGCTTCCAAGACAGGTATCTTCCTGTGTTGGGAGCAGGCCTGACTCCAGCCTGAAGTTCAGAAACTATGAATGGCTCTTTTTGTACCCTAAGCTTACTCAAACTTCCTGCTCCCCACCAGTAACAGGAAATATTCACTGACAGCTCTTTGGTTTTCAACAACTTTTCTACAGGTACCATATTTAACACTTTTCTCACTTTCCTCAGCTTCTCCCTGGGAGGTTTTTTCTATTCTCAGGTCTCAAATCACTGACTACTTCCATTTGTTTGCCTAGCAATTAACTGACTAGAAGCCACAAGTTGTGGTCCAGGAAGACAGAAGAAACCTGGGAAGACACAATACATCCTGAGAGTCTGTTGCTCTTAGGGTAACAGAAAAGGCTATTCAACATGCAAGTGAAATAGCTGATTCCGTTTAAGGGACAATCATAACACCTTACACCCCACTCCAGCACTCTTGCCTGGAAAATCCCACGGACGGAGGAGCCTGGTGGGCTGCAGTCCACGGGGTCACTAAGAGTCGGACACAACTGAGTGACTTCACTTTCATTTTTCACTTTTCATGCATTGGGGAAGGAAATGGCAACCCACTCCAGTGTTCTTGCCTGGAGAATCCCAGGGACGGGGGAGCCTGGTGGGCTACCGTCTATGAGGTAGCACAGAGTCAGACATGACTGAAGCGACTTAGCAGCAGCAGCAGCAGAACACCTTATAAATAACCCAACTCAGCCAAATTAGAACAAAGACGCTTTCCTCTAGGGGGTTTCCCTGGTGGCTCAGATGGTAAAGAATTTGCCTGTAATGCAGGAAACCTGGGTTTGACCCCTGTGTTAGGAAGACTCCCTGAAAAAGAGAATGGCTATCCACTCCAGTATTCTTGCCAGTATTATACTAATAAAAGGGAATTATACTAATTAAAGGGAAAGAAAAAAAAGAATAAAGGGAAAAGGTCCAAGCTATGTGGTGATTCCAGAAAAACCATTTGTTTTGTAAAAAGACACTATATTTCAACTCAGTAGTTAAAAATATGAGTATATATTGATGAAATACTTCAAAAGAAAAAAAAATCTACAAAATGTTCCTTGTAGAAATATTTAGATCAAGAGAAAATTGTTAACTAAACTGAGGAACAATCTTTGTACTAAAGAAGCAAACAGTATATAAAGAGATGAAATATTAAATTATAACTTGAAAAGACAGATACACGGACTATGTCAAGATATGGAAATGCTTATATGAAATAATAACCAAGTAAAGACCTTGTTTAATAACTGGAACACAACTGTGTAAATATATACTTTTTTCTAATAATTCAGATTTTGATATTACATCCTTTTTCCAACCTGTAAAGCTATCTTTTTATTTTTAAACAAAATAGCACTGTCTTTCCTGATACGTGAAGTGAAGTCGCTCAGTCGTGCCCAGCTCTTTGCGACCCCCATGGACTGTAGCCCACCAGGCTCCTCAGTCCATGGGATTTTCCAGGCATGAATACTGGAGTGGGTTGCCATTTCCTTCTCCAGGGGATCTTTCCAACCCAGGGATCGAACCCAGGTCTCCCGCATTGTAGGCAGATGCTTTACCGTCTGAGTTACCAAGGAAGCACACTTAAATCAATGCTCAGCTCCTCCACAAGAGAGGAGGTTCCAACACTCAGGCACCAGAGATATGAAAAGTTACTAAACAAGATGCATGAGATCCATATCCTGGGGAAATGCAAACTTCTTCACTAGTAGTCAGTGTTGAATCAAAGTCTGCATTGCTTTAGGCTCACCCAAAAGAGACACTGTCACCCAAAAGAGACACCCAAAATCAGACACTGTTTCCCTTGGTATCATCTCAAACCACGAGAAAAACCACCACATGATAAAAATATTCTTAAAAAAAAAAAAGGAATACCAATATCCTTTTTTTTAATATTTCTAGAAAGAAGAAAAAACAAAAACTGTTACTGTACCTTTCCAATGAATTATGAATCGGTACAATAGGATGTTTCATCTTTAAAAGAAGCAAAGAAAAGAAAGTTCACATGTTAAAACTCCCAATAGAATATATTTAGAGTTTTATCCCATATGAGAGTGGTAAATATGATCATAACACACACTACCCTATTCAAGAGGAATCACTTTAGGTCCCGCCAAAAGAAAGGAGTCACTGAACCCAACCAGTCTTTCACAGTTATTCAAATAAGGGTACCCAAATTTCCAAGAAAAAGGAAAATGGTCTTTTGAAGGACCTAAATACTGTATTCAAATGCTTGGCTTTCTTGTCATTACAATTACACTCATTACAATATTATTAAATGCCAAACTATGATACAGTACTTCACCAAATACTGGAAGTATAAAGGTTCACAGTATGGAGTCCTTGCCCTCAAGGTAATTTCAATTACCTTGAAACTACCTGCAGACTGAGGCTAAAACAGGGGTGCGTGTAGAGGAGGAACTCTTAGCCCAACTAAGGGATTCAAGGAAAGAGATTACATTTTGAGGGATGAGTAAAAGTTAACCAGGGAAAGACATGTGAGAAGGGCATTCTTGGTACTGAGAAACGGCCCAAAGTGAGGGAGCTACAAGCAGTTAACAGGTTTAAACCTGGTTATGACAAAAAAAAAAAAAAAAGGCTAGTGATGTGGGAAGCAACTAAGACATTTTGACTTTAACCTGTAGGTAACAAGGGAATCACCAAAAGTTTTAGGTGGTCCGATTTACACTGCATGAATAGAAATACTGTAGGCTGCCTGGAAGAGAAGCCAGAAGGCAGTTAGTTACAAGGTTACCACCAATCTCAACAAGACTCACTGGACAAGGAGGCTGGAGAAAAGAGGCCAGCTACATCAGAGAGAGAGAGACATGTCTAGGTGGTAAAACTGCCAACAGTACCTGAGTGGATATGAGGGACTGAGGGCAGATATAAAAGTGCACATAAAGGAAAGTCCACGACAGGTGCCAAAGGGAACTCATCAGTTGCCCTCCTTATATAGCAGCTCAGTCTAACACGTTCTTGACTTTCCATTATGCCCTGCTGCAGCCAAGTTGAGCTGGTCTGTTACCTTGTTGGACTTGAGCATAGCCAGCTGAGGTGACCCTGGAGGTGTGCGGTAGAGCAGCTCAGAAGTGAAGGCTGCGTTTGCAATCTGCATGCATTCTTCCAAAGTCTTGAGAAAAGTGTTACAGGTTGATTTCAGCAGAGTTCCCACATCAATTCCCTCCTATGAAACAACCAGAGTGGAAGACGCCTTTACTTTGCCAAAAAGGAAAGAGCCCAATTGTGGAATAGTCTTAGAGGTTTTATCCACCACAAAACAACAATAATAATAATCCCATCTATTTTGCTGGACAAATATGTGTACCAGTTATAAAAGAAAAAGACTAAACAAGTATAATTTATCTATTATCCATACACAAGCCTTACCCTCAAGCCTGCCCTTCAGGCTCACCCACCACTCCAGCTGAAGGCAACAACTTCTATATGATAGCAATATGTCAGGCACTGAGCCCTCATGGAGTTTCTAGTCTATAAGGGGTAGCAGACACCAAACAGAGTCACATGGATTGATGACCAGTGGGATCAATGGAGAAACGTTTTCTGAGTAAAAAATGAGCTTCCAGAACAGAAGCATTAGAAACCAAATACCACATTGTTTGCTTTCAGAATGGGCTTTTTGGCTTTCAGTACAGATGAGTCTAAAAGGTTTTTGCAACTGGAATTCTTTTGAGCATCAAATCATTTTTTTCTCCAAGTCATTTCACTTTCTCAGTGTGATACTGGATATTGATACTAGTAAGTTGTTCAGAAAACAGGCCACCCCCAGAATAGAGAGTATGGTAACCATCTTGGTGGTGTTAAAGCTATCAGATTTGGCCCAAGATGGAGTCACTCATGCTAAGCCTCACATCAGCAAACCAGAAATGTAGCTACGTTTCTATGCTGGGTCTCCCAGAAAAGGCAGGCCTAGGTCAACCAATCAGTGCTTGCCTGCTCAGCACAAGTTACTATCCTGGCTCCAAGGCTTCCCTTTGCTCCATATAAGAAAAGTAACCTTGCTTTAACTATTCAGGAAATATCCACTAATAACTTCCTTGTTCCTGCTCACTTTGGTCCACAGAAATCTCTAGCCTGGTACAGCTCTTCATAGCTCCTTTCTATCTGCTGGATGGACTGGATGCTGCTCAATTCATGAACTGCTGAATAAAGCCAGTAGGATCTTTAAATTTTACTCAGGTGAATTTTGTTCTTTAACCATGGCCCCTATATTTTCTTTAATTTATTATTTCTAACAAGTGAGATGTTAATGGTTATGAACCACTATGATTCAGATACCAATTAGAATGTGTGATTTTCTTCCACACCACCAAGAAATTCCTGGACACCAGCCAGGCGTCCTACAGGTCTACACAATATACCTGGAAATAGTGTCAGGTCTCACAGATTACATGCTCAGTCCTACAAGATTGCTTCCTACCCCCACTTCAGACACCAATGGCAAGTTCAGGGTGTCACTTGTGCTACTGACTGACCTACTATAGACTGAAGATTCCAACAACCCCCTCCTTGTGTTTAACTACTTTACCAGAGCAGTTCACAGAACTAAGAAAAACATTTTACTTACTAGATCACTGGTTTATTACACAAGGGTATAACTCAGGAACAGCAAGATGGAAGAGATGCACAAGACAAGGCATGTGGGAACAGGCTTGGAGCTTCCATGCTCCCTTGAGTGTGCCCCTCTCCCCAGTCAACACTATTTACCAACTCAAGAGCTTTATAAACCCCATGCTTTGAAGTTTCATTAAATGGGCACAACTGATTAAATCACTGGCCAAGGGTGACTGAGGGTCAATCTTCAGTCCCTCTCCCCTCCCAGGAGGTGAGGGGATAGGAAAGAAAGTTCCAACCCTACTTGGTAGGGTCTACCGTCAACCAGAACCTCCATCTTTAGGCATTTTTCAATAGTTGCCTTATTAACATAACAAAAGACATCTTGACCACTTGCAGGACAGGAAATTCCAATGGTTACCTTAGGAACTCTGTGCCAAAAACCAAAGACCAAACATACATTTCTTATTATAAACCACAATAAGGCAATAGCACCCCACTCCAGTACTCTTGCCTGGAAAATCCCATGGACGGAGGAGCCTGGTAGGCTGCAGTCCATGGGGTTGTGAAGAGTCATACATGACTGAGAGACTTCACTTTCACTTTTCACTTTTATGCACTGGAGAAGGAAATGGCAACCCACTCCAGTGTTCTTGCCTGGAGAATCCCAGGGATGGGGTGGCACAGAGTCAGACACGACTGAAGTGACTTAGCAGACTTAGCAGCAGTTGACTCAGTGGCAAAGAATCCACCTGCCAATGCAGGAGACCCAGGAAAGAAAAATATGTCTTCAAGAAAATTGGAGATATCAAGGGAAGATTTCATGCAAGGATGGACACAATAAAGGACAGAAACAGTAAGGACCTAACAGAAGCAGAAGAGATTAAGAAGAGGCGGCAAGAATACACAGATGAACTGTACAAAAAAGATCTTAATAACCTGGATAACCACGAAGGTGCGGTCACTCACCTAGAGCCAGACATCCTGAAGTGTGGGGTCAAGTGGGCCTTCAGACACATTACTATGAACAAAGCTAGTGGAGGTGATGGAATTCCAGCTGAGCTATTTCAAATCCTAGAAGATGATGCTGTGAAAGTGCTGCACTCAATATGCCAGCAGATTTGGAAAACTCAGCAGTGGCTATGTGCTGTGCTGTGCTGAGCTGCTCAGTCATGTCTAACTCTTTGCGACCCCATGGACTGTAGCTCGCCAGGCTCTGCTGTTCATGGGGATTCTCCAGGCAAAAAAACTGGAGTGGGTTGCCATGACCTCCTCCAGGGTATCTTCCCAACCCAGGGACTGAACCCAGGTCTCCTGCATTGCAGGTGGATTCATCAACTGAGCCACAAGTCAGTTTTCATTCCAATCCCAAAGAAAAGCAATGCCAAAGAATGTTCAAACTACCATACAATTGTACCCATTTCACACGCTAGTAAGGTTATATTCAAAATCCTTCAAGCTAGGCTTCAGCAGTACAAGAACCGAGCACTTCCAAATGTACAAGCTGGGTTCAGAAAAGGCAGAGGAACCAGAGATCAAATTGCTAACAATCAATGGATCATAGAGAAAAGCAAGGGAATTCCAGAAAAACATCAACTTCTGCTTCACTACACTAAAGCCTTTGACTGTGTACAACAAACTGGAAAATTTTTAAAGAGATGGGAATACCAAACCACCTTACCTGTCTCCTGAGAAACCTGTATACAGGTCAAGAAGCAACAGTTAGAACTGGTTCCATATTGGGAAAGGATTAAGACAAGACTGCATATTGTCACTCTGCTTATTTAACTTCTACACAGAGTACATCATGTGAAATGCCAGACTGGATGAATCCAAGCTGGAATCAAGACTCCCAAGACAAATATCAACAAGCTCAGATATGCAGATGATACCACTCTAACAGCAGAAAGTGAAGAGGAACCAGAGAGCCTCTTGATGAGGGTGAAAGAGAAGAGTGAAAAAGCTGGCTTAAAACTCAGCATTCAAAAATGAACATTGTGGCATCCAGCCCTATCACCTCATGACAAATAGAAGGGGAAAAGTGGAAGTAGTGACAAATTGTCTTTTTTGGGCTCCAAAATCACTGTGCATGGTGACTGCAGCCATGAAATTCAAAGACACTTGCTCTTTGGAAGGAAAGCTATGACAAACCTAGACAGTGTATTACAAAGCAGGGATATCACTTTGCCAACAAAGGTCCATATAGTCAAAGCTATGGTTTTTTCAGTAGTCATGTACAGATGTGAAAGTTGGACCTTAAAGAAAGCTGAAGGCATCAGAATTGATGCCTTCAAATTGTGGTGCCAGATAAGACTCTTGAGAGCCCCTTGGACTGCGGGGAGGATATCAAACCAGTTAATCTCAAAGGAAATCAACTCTAAATATTCATTGGAAGGGCTGATGCTGAAGCTGAAGCTCCAATACTTTGGCCACCTGATGTAAAATAGCTGACTCACCGAAAAAGACCCTGACGATGGGAAAGATTAAAGGTAAAAGGAAAAGGAAGTGGCAGAGGATGAGATGGTGAGATAGCGTCACCAACTCAATGGACATGAATTTGAGCAAACTCCGGGAGATGCTGAAGGACTGAGGAGCCTGGCATGCTGCAGTCCATGGGATCACAAAGAGTCAGATATGACTTAGCAGCTGAACAACAACAATGTATCACAACACCACAGCCACAGTTTCATTAGCAAGTATCCGAGGCACTTACTATAAACACTTACTACTAATACAAACACTTTTGAATTAAACACTTACTATAAACACTTCTGAATTAAAAGTTGCTGCATTCACTTTCTTCTTTCCCTCTCGACCAGGGCTTCTCTTCCTTGGCTCCACTGGCATTTGGGGCTGGCTAATTATTGGAGGAGGAGATGGAGGGGGAATGGCTCTCCTGTCCCTTCCAGATATTAAGCAGCATCTGGCCATCTGACCTCTCTCCCTTAGATGCCAACAGCACTCCCTCAGTAGTGACAACCGAAACTGTCTCAGCCATGGCCCAATGTCTCCTGAGGCGCAAACTGCTCTGGCTGGAGAACCACTGCTCTAGGTTCTAACATCCCAAAAGCAGGACTGAAATGTTTTGGTGGCCCTCCCACTGCCCTCCCTCAGCATAATGTCTTGTATACAACACACTGAATTAGTAAGAAAAATCCCCCCACCCCAAAGAGTGAATGAAAGTGAGCTAAAACACTTTTATTAGAAAAACTCAGAGCACATATATTATTAGTAGCATAGTGCTAATATTACCTAAGTAATGAAAATCTGCAGATTCTTCATTTTTGTAGGCACCGTTTCTCAGATAACTTCATTGAAAGCAGAGCAGAGACCTCTCTCTGGTTAATGTGAACCATTCAATACATAGATTAACACCAGTTACATCTTTTACTATATGTTTTAGAATGAGAAAATAGTAATTTCATTAATAAGTGATAAAGATTTCAATCCTTGCTGATGATGGAGAGAAATAAAGCTGTGTCTCTATCTCTGGAAGCGCTAGTCTATGCTAAAGGAGAACATCTACCACGGTGAAATAAATGCTGTTACAGTCTCAACAGAGGTGACAGATACGCATAACTGACACACAAGATGCTGTCGTCTTAGGAGCCACATCACTAGTACGGAAACTGCGCTGTTAGACAGTTAAGGCTGTATTTTTAAAAGCTATGCAAACTGAGAAGACACGTATTCTAGTACACTACTACTAAAGTTAAAAGTTCCAAATGTTATCAATTAATCCTGAATTCTTCCCCGGAAGGAAAACTATATGCTTCCATATGCTGAAATGCATACATTTCTTCTCTTTAAGTCTATCACTTTTTTTTCTGTGAAAAACATTATATTCCAAGGTATGGATTATGTAAGAATATGCATCACGGGTAAGCAACATCTGGTGCTACTTTTCAAAGACGAATGGTATTTTACCTCAGAACTGGACACGCCGGTTGTGGTCACATCTTTCGTTTTATCTACTTGCTGAACAAGAAGATCACAGTAGAGTCTTAGTTCTGACATTTTGGTTTTCAAGTTTTCAGTGTTTTCAGCAAATTCTAAATAACAAAATGATGAAAATGTAATTATCAGAATAAGTAACTGATATACTAGTTAGTATACTATACATATAAAATATAATCTATGTTTTAAAGTCAGATGTTTATATTATGGGCTACAGATACCATATAACTGAAGTTATGGGAACAAGAAAAACAGAAAAAGGAGATTCCTAGCCTTCTGAAGTAATTACTTCTGAAGTAATCTATCTGAAGTAATCTTCTGAAGTAATTTCTTGACCCAACATATTTACTAATCACCAGTTCAGGAAGGAGACATATACCTCTGATTCACTTGTGTCAGAACTGGGAACAGAGTCAAAGGTTCACAGTTTTGATCTCAGTTCTGCCACAGTTTTTCTTTCTGTAAAATGGGGTCACAGCTATCTACCTACCTGCTAACATGGTGCTCAAAACTGGGAAGTAGTGGTCTGTAACATGCAATGACCACTAGTAAGATAGCTCATGAATCAGAGGACTGGTCCAGCATGCTGCCTGGAAAGGCAAATGGCACCCTCTGCACACTTGCTGCGTCTCCATTAGTTCGGCACTCCATCCACCCTGGCACCAAGGACTTGGCTACAGTCATTACTGCCTCTGTTTTGTTCTCTGTGAAAAAGCCGTCACATTCTACCTGATGTGAGTCAGAGGTCACAGAGTCAAGAATTTGCTTTTGACTTAGCATTAAAAGGGCTTCCCTTGTAGCTCAGCTGGTAAAGAATCAGCCTGCAATGCAGGAGACCCCAGTTTGATTCCTGGGTCTGGAAGATCTGCTAGAGAAGGGACAGGCTACCTACTCCAGTATTTTAGCATTAAAAACCAACCAAGAGGCCATCTTACTGTGTCTACCTCAAAAGTGAAGTACATCTGCCATTAGGTGTCACGAGAAAGGTCCCTGAAACATTTTTCCCAGAGGCCCCTCTCTCTCCTACCAATCTTTCCAGGTGTACATTCGGGGTTGCAGGGTCGGAAGGCAGAGCTCAGGCAGTAAGCTCTGGCACTTGTGACCCAGGACAGATAGAAAGTTATGTCACAGTTCTCAGGAGACCTAATGATGTTGAGTTAATGAGCATTAAGCAGCAGGAACCTGACAATTAAGCAGCCATCCACTCCAGGAAAAAGGAGGGAAAAGTGGGGTGCTACTGTAACAAACACTGAGATCCGAGGCTTCTCTGGCTCGGCTACCCTTTACCAAAGGTGTCCTTTGTGCCAGACAAAGTACTAGGCAGTTTTATATCATCACTGATCCTCATGGTAATTCTTGTAAGGTAGGTAATTACCTCTTTCTAAAGCATAAGGAAACTGAAGATGAGAGAGGTCCTATGCCAAGGTCACAAAGCCAGTACCCTACAAAGCCATGATTTGAATCCAGTTGTGTCTGGCTCCAAAACCTACCCTCTTTCTACTATGACATGCTAGGAGAGAAGAGTCAGGTATAGATTGTTTAAGTTCCACTGAGATGTACAGCACCTACATGACATAAAAAGCTGGCTGTGGCTAGGTGGTCAGAAGCAAGATAACAAATATGGGAACCCAGAGATGCCACCAGGTAATTCCCAGGGTTCCCAGGCCAGAGGACAATCAATACTTGCCTTTTTCCTTCTGGGTCCTACTGTCTGTCAGGCAAGCCTTGGCTGACCCCAAGGCTACCAGCCACCGCTGTCTCTCCGCCACACTTCTGGCCTTCAGGTAGAAATATTGTTCCCCAGGGATGATGAGATCCATGCGTGTGTTATCTACAGAATGAACTGGGAGCAAGGCAGAGGGAGGTCAGAAACCCAGAAGAGCCATGTCTGGGTAGCATCCACTCTACCCAAACTCCTAAGCTTTACTGGGGCCAGTCACTGAGGACTTCTTCCAAAAAAGGATGCCAGCCCTCACAACTTCTGGTTTATTTATCTCTTCCTAGAGGTCTCTGCTGATGAAGAAGGAAAACTCTGCAACTGGCTCCAAGGTCTCACCAAGACTTTGGCTTAAAAAAGCAGCACTTAAATCTCCTCAGGATCTTTTAGAAGAGGAGAGAGGAAAAATCTCTCTTTTGGCGTGTGTGTGTGTGTGTGTGTAAAGCATGCTGGTCTGCAGCCAAAATGGCTTGATGCAAACAACTAAGGATGTGCTCTTCATCTCCTTGGGGTACTGGAAAGCAATTAAACAGTATTTTTACTCTTCTACCTTCATTTACATGTCATATTAAAAACGTGACAACTGGAAAGCAATCAAGAACACAGTACTTTCCCTTTTCTACCTTCCTTCACTCATTATGTAAAAAATGTGACAATTCCCTTAAAGCCTTTAGGAGAAGAAACAAGCAAGCCACACTCCCCTTCACCCTCCAAACCCTGGGCCCCTAATTCCGTTCTAATTGGTTTCTGAGCCACACCCTCCCAGCACATCCTAAGATTCCTAAAACCAGGAAGTAAAGGCTGTTTGTAGGTCCGTTAGGTGTTTGCTTGTTTAGTTTTGAGTATGGTGATGGTGGTAAAAAGGTAGGTAAGTGTCCTGATTTAAACATAGAGGTGTTTGATGTTGCAATAAAAACACAAGGTTAGAAAATTGCCTCAAGTGCCAGGTGAGCAGGAGACTGTGAAATGGTACTAGATGTGTGATTAATAAACACACTGCTCTCATTTATTTTCACTACCTCTTAACCAACCTTCTTGTAAAAACTGCCTGCAGTTTTACGTCTTACTTACAAGGTTTTTTTTTGGGGGGGTGGTACATAACATAATATATCTTTGTCTATACTTTGGAAGCAGCACAGAAAGGCCTAAGAAACCAGTGCTTTTTTTTTAATCTTGGGGGAGAAACAGAAAGAAAAATAAACCCTGCAAATTTCTTGGCTTCTCACCTTGAATTTCACAGACTGCCATCTGGATGCTCCCTTTGCAACCTTTCCAGGCATCTTCAGGAGAATCATAGTAAGATAATATCCCCCCACAGAGAAGGAACCACCGAGGCTGCCAACCTGCAAACAGAAGCAAGAGCATGGTCTCCATTACTGCTTCCCAGGACACAGAATAGGACCTAACAAAGGATGCTGGATTCCAGCTCCAAGGAACTTACCTTCTGGGGGAAAATTCTAAGGGAAAAAAGCTAGAAAAGATGTATATTTGATTTCATTTTTGCATAGGAGTCTGGAAGGAGGAGCAATAAATATAGTGATGATTCTCTAAGTAATGGGATTACTGATGATTTTTATTCCTTTTTCTCTCTAATACAGTACTAGTAATCTTTGGTTTTTAATTTTTCTAAGATTAAAGATTATTATTTTCCAAACATTATTGTTAACACACTTGTTCTCTTCCCCTCTAGTTAAGAAAAACTATTCTGAACCTCAAAATGAGACAAAATATTATACTGACCTTTCAACATTACACAAAGTGCTGCCTAATAGGTCTGCCTAAGGTCATATGATTTCCAGGAAAAGATAACTTTAATTTACTATTTGGTATTGATGCACTGAAATGGAATAATCTTAAAACATTCACGGGCTTAACTATTTTTACTTCAGAGAATTTCACAGGACAAATCGTATTCAGTGGAAACTCACATCTTATCTAGTCCTCTTACACAACCTATATTCTAGTCACACCAAACTTACTTGCTGTATTCCTGCTTCAGAGTTTTCGCTCAAATTAGATCTTTTTCCTAAAAATGTCATCCCTGACTATCTCTTGCATAAGCCTTGTCAGTCTCCTCTGTCAGATTTTTTTTTCTCTCTCTGAAATGCCACAGCTCTTTAAGGATACATTTCTCTCACTGGATTCTTCTATGGCTGAGAGAGTCAAGAGAGAAGGTTGGTAGGGACCTTGGGCAGGGCCCCAAGGGCTGCTCAGGTACATACCTGATGGGCTCTTGGGAACAGATTCACACCAAGTAAATATGTAAGTCACCTATTGATGTCAAAATAGTAAATGTCAGGGAACCACTGACAGGGAAGCACCTAAACCCTTTACTGGACGTCAGGAGTCCCAAGGCCTTAACTCAACACCCACACAAGTCAATTACTGGATGGAAAACCTCTTGGGATGAACTTGTAAATCTTGTTTCAGAAGGTGATGCTTCCTGGCCCTGGTTTCAAATTCTATGCAAACAAACCTGAAAGCTACTGTTCTTGACACAAACATTACAATTCAAGAAATCAACCTGGTCATGAGATTATGACTTGTTGAGTATACAATCAGCACTCCAGGAGTTGGATACTACTGGTGATATTGTAGCCCTCTGCAAGTCATTATCTACACCTTATGCATCTCCCCACACTGAAACAAGAATCAACTGCTAAGACTCTGAAAAATGAAAAAAGATTTTGAAATCACCTAGTTCAACCAGCTCTTTCACAGAAAAGGAAACCAATCCCAGGCAGATTAACTGACCTACCTAAAGTCACAAACGAAGTATACAACAGAGCTGGGAAGAAAACTGTCTTTCTAACACTGTCTCTCCTGGTGTAATAACTCCCAAACCCTGACTCCCCATTGCCAGAAAGCTTTCCTGGTATAGAACAGTAGCATCTTCTCACTTACAACTCAACTTCCATGATTATGTTCGGTGTGAAACATTCTCCAAACCCACCATGACTCTCAAGTAGAGGGAAATCAACGTACCCTCAATTATCATATTTTATCAAATTTCAGACCTCACCTACATTAGTCTTCATTCTCCAGAGAAAGAGAACCAATAATATGTAGGCATATCTACACATAATTTATTATAAGGAATTTGCTCACGCATTACAGAGCCTAAGAAATTCCAACATCTGCAGTCAGCAAGCTAGAGAATCAGGAGAGCCAACTTGTAATTCCAGTCCAAAGTCAGGAGGCTTGAGACCCAAGAAGAGTCAATGTTTCAGTGAGAGTGAAAAAACAGGAAAAGACCAAAGTTCCAGCTCAACAGTCAAGCAGGAAGAGTTATTACCCCTTATCCCTTTTTGTTCTATTTAGGTCTTTGGATGGGACCCATTCATGTTAAGAAAAGCAATCTACTTTACTATGTTTACCAATTCAAATGTTAATCCCATCCAGAAATACCCTCAGACACAACCAGAATGATCAGTCAAATGTCTGGGCACTCCATGGCCCAGGTGAGTTGACACAAAAAATTAACCATCAGATACCATCAATTTTAAGATAAACTGAAGTAATGGCATATGATATGATTAACAAGGTTTAATTTCCAAAATATACAAATAGCTCATACAACTCAACAACAAAAACCAAACAACCCAATCAAAAAATGGGCATAAGACCTAAATAGGCATTTCTGCACAGAAGACATATAGATGGCCAACAGGCACATGAAAAGATGCTCAACATCACTAATTATCAGAGAAATGCAAATCAAAACAATAATGAGGTACCACCTCATACTGGTCAGAATCAGTTCAGACACTCAGTAGTGTCTGACTCTTTGCGACCCCATGGACTGCAGCATGCCAGGCTTCCCTGCCATCATCAACTCCTGGAGCTTGCTCAAACTCATGTCTATCAAGTCAGTGATGCCATCCAACCATCTCATCCTCTGTTGTCCCCTTCTCCTCCTGCCTTCAATCTTTCCCAGAATCAGGATCTTTTCCAGTGAGTCAGTTCTTCGCATCAGGTGGTCAAAGTACTGGAGTTTCAGCTTCAGCATCAGTCTTTCCAATGAATATTCAGGACTGATTTCCTTTAGGATGGACTGGTTGGATCTCCAAGCAGTCCAAGGGACTCTCAAGAGCCTTCTCCAACAGCACAGTTCAAAAGCATCAATTCTTCGGCACTCAGCTTTCTTTATAGTCCAACTCTTCACATTCATACATGACTACTGGAGAAACCATAGCTTTGACTAGATGGACCTTTGTCGGCAAAGTAATGTCTCTGCTTTTTAATATGCTGTCTAGGTTGGTCACAGCTTTTCTTCCAAGGAGCAAGCATCTTTTAATTTCATGGCTGCAGTCACCATCTGCAATAATTTTGGAGCCCAAGAAAATAGTCTGTCATGGGACCAGATGCCATGATCTTAGTTTTCTGAATGTTGAATTTTAAGCCAGCTTTTTCACTCCTGTCTTTAATGGCCATCAATAAAAAGTCTACAAATAATAAACTGTAGACAGGAGAGGGTGTGGAGAAAAAGGAACTCTTGTTACACTGGGTTGGTGGGCATGTAAATTGGTACAGTCACTATGGAAAACAGTATGGAGGTTCCTTAAAAAATTAAAAATGAGAGTTACCACATGATCCAGTAAAACCACTCCTGGACATATATCTGGAAAAAACTCTTAATTAAAAACGATACATGCAGCCCTATGTTCACAGTAGCACTACTTACAACAGCCAAGACATGGAAGCAACCTAAATGTCCATCGACAGATGAATGGATAAAGAAGATGTGGTACGTATACACAGTGGTATACTACTCAGACATAAAAAAGGATGAAATAATGCCATCTGCAGCTACATGGTTGGACCTAGAGATTATCATACCAAGTGAAGTAAATCAGACAGAGAAAGACAAACATCATACAATATCACTTACATGTGAAATCTAAAATATGAAATGAATGAACTTACTTACAAAACAGAAACAGACTCACAGACATAGAAAACAAACTTTTGGTACCAAAGGGGAGAGAGGGAGGGGAGGGATAAATTAGGAGTCTGGGATTAGCCGATACAAACTATTATAAGAAAACAGATAAACAACAAGGTCCTACTGTGTCATATGGAGAACTGTTTGCAATGTCTTCTAACAACCTATAATGGAAAATAATATGAAAAAGTATATATATATTATATATATAACTGAATCACTTTGCTGTATACTAGAAACTAACACCTTGTAAATCAACTATACTTATATTAAAAAAAAACAACTTAGGAAGAACAATACGGCGGAGGAGTAGGTGGACGTGAAGTACATCTCACTCCACAGATACATCAGGAATACACCTTCAGACACAGAAGTGCATGCAGAACACCAGTTGAGAGCAGACATGAGTACCTGACCAGCGAAAAAGAATATCTAGAACCACGCAAAACTTGGTAGGATGAAGGGACGAGGGGGAAAAACAGGACTGTTAGTAGAACTGAACCTGTCCTCGGGGGGTGGGCGAACTGAAGCAGGGGTCCGATCCCCACATGGGGGCAACTGTCTGAGTCAGAGGAGAAACATTTAACACTGAGAGTGAAACTGTTGATCTGTGGCAGCCTAAATGGAATGAGAATCAGACAGTTGCTGCAGCCACACATACCGCGGATAGGGAGGAGGGCCCTCTGGAAGGTGCAGCGGCTGGGAGCTGGAGCTTGGGGACTGTGAAGCAACCCCAGGGCAAGGGCTGCTGTTGACTGCGGAGAGACCGAGGGGATGTCAGGGAGGAGATCGTGGTGGGAAATGCCGGTGGAGGAAAGCCTGGCAGCCATGGAAGCAAGGCAATATTGCTGAGTCAGGCATAGCGGGTAGAGCCATCACCATAGCCTCTCTCTCCCCACAGGCCAGCATCGGCAGCTGAACAATAGAGAGGCTGGCCCATCAAACGCCCGACGCACTGAACTACAGAGCAGAGCACCACCCTGGGCGCCCCTTTAAGTGCCTGACGCGCCAATCTACAGAGTAGGACCCCAGCCAGGGGGCCCCTCTATGTGCAGAACACCACCCTGGGTGCCCCTTTAAGTGCCTGACGCGCCAATCTACAGAGTAGGACCCCAGCCAGGCGGGCCCTCTATGTGCCTGAACAACAGAGAAGGAGCCCAGGCGAGGGAGTCCGCTAAGAGAGCCTGAATGGGAGGAGCTATGGAGAAGGACTGGCCAGAGACGCCTTTTTACGGCCAGCTACAAGAGGCTCGAAGAAAGACTCTGATGGGGCCAAAACTCCTGCGGCGGAGGCAGGCTGCGTCCCTGCACACTGAGCCGCCAGGGTCCCTGCAGGCCAAGCAGCTGTGCTACCTTCGCGCTTGACTCTCACTGGGGCAGAGCTGCCACAGGCAAAAA